ATGCAGTAGGCGTATGGTTGCACTCCCTCATCCCCGCTGTCTTCCCACCTCCATTCCTCCCTCCCGGCTCTATCTCTCTCCCTCCCTGAATCTTTCTATGCATGTTTGATGGCTCCTGTAATGAGGGCTCTTTGATGTGGAGGAGATCTAGGGTAAGCAGAGTGCTTAGTTGAGTGGGAGGCGAGGAATGCGAGGCAGGTACAACGCGGCTGTGCGTGTTGATTAAAACTCTTGTTTTCTCCCATCAGACCACGCTCGGCCATCCTGAATACGAATGCATCTCGCTGGATTTCCACGATTTTCTGTCTTCCCGCATAATCCTGCTTTTCAGTCAACACTTAGCTCATTAGTACAAGTTTATTTTCACATGCCTCTCTTTGTAATGTACAGCATTCACACTCTTGTTTATTTCCATGCATTCCTCAACCCTCTGTCCCACTTTGACTCCTCTGAAACCAGTTCAGACATTTTCTGCAGCAAACTACAAAGCTGTAACCTGTGTGAGCTGCTGACAGACACATGTCCACAAAGGACCGAGAGAGGAAAACACTTTGATTTGATGCATTGTGAAGATAAAAAAGATGGGCAGTGTGGGGAGGGAAATGGGCCTGCTCTCTGATTTGATGGATATTTCTGACGCAAACTGGTAAAAAGGTGAGTGCTGCTGGTGGTGCAGATATGTGTGTGTGTGTCCAAATAAGTGTGTTTCCCCCTCCTCCACCGCCTCTGCCTCAAACAAAAGATGCAAGCCAAGGCTACAAAATGGTAGTGGTGGAAGTAAAATAAGTTTTTGTTTTCCATCAGTCATTTGTTATTTCTCTGGATACCATGGAGGTGAGAAACTTTGCCCGCCATTGTTGTAGAAGGAGCTGTAAGAAGCAGATTGTATTCGCAAGACATTTTGAGAGCCAAAAAAACAAGAGAGGCGGAAGAGGAGCAAGAAGACGAAAGTAGAGAGAACAGTGTTGGGAAAAGAGAAATAAGTCTGATAGCCGAAGAGGTTTTGTGGCTCAGAGTCAAGATGATATTGTTGATAAGGTTCCTTCTCCTCACTGGATGCTGCTGTGCAGGTGAGTCAGAATTTTATATTTGTGATGGTGCCGAGGGAGCGAGCAAAAGGATGAAGGTTAGCAAACCAACAGCCATTAGCAAATATTTGATGTGGTCACCGTGTGCCCATGAAAGCATTTCTTCATGACATGATGTCAAATGTAATATATTCTTCAATGCTCACAGTAAAACTGGCGCTGTAAGTCTGGATATGAGTTCACTGCAATCTACTTTTTTCCATGTCATAACTTTTAGGTTTGAAGTCAGATATAACAAACTGTAGACAATTATAACACAACAGAGAGAGGGCATGTTTGCATACACACACACACACACACACACACACACAAGACTTTTCTTTTAATCTCTCTCAAGCTCACATGTCTCTCCTTGCTAAGCCAGTCTCTCTAATTCACTCTTTCACCGTTGCGCACGCACACACACACACACACACACACACACCATAGCTTAATTAGGATAAACTCCATATTTCCTTTATGAGTCCAATTAAAAACTAAGAGGGGCCACTTCTCAAAGCTGTCAGACTGTTTGATGTTGAGGTAGCACTCTCTTGCCGTAGCTGCGTCTGAGCCGTCTTGAGTCAGGACGTTGGGTCTCTCTGTACTTCACTTGTAATTGTCCCCCAATTGAGTTGCATACCAGCAGTAAAACCTTTTATGACTGGTCGTCCAACTGTTCTGGGATGGGATCTCAGTCTTCACATAAAAAAGAGAGTTACATCATTTATGGTACCTCTTTAAATTGATCTAGATATATTCTTCGTCTGTCTTACGGATGGCACTTCATGAGTGTGTTTGGGGAGGCGGGGCGGAGGGTGTGTGATGGAGGGGGGGGTCAAATTTGTGACGAGGCCAAAATAGATCACAGGCATCATTTCAGACTTAGTTTAATTGTTCCACCAGCGCTGTCTCTGTTTTTATTCCCTCTAAGATCTGGCAGTCCGTCTGTCTCCTCCGTCTCTCTCTTTCCCTGCTGAATGTCTGACTCTCTCTCTTCTTTAAGATACCATCTTAAGCATCTTCAACTTTTGCCATCAATATTCTTGGCTCAATGTCCCTCTCCCCTATCTTTGTCATATCTCAAAAATTAAGCCATTTTTGAAAAAGCCAGGGAAAAGGATTTGGCTCCTTGAAACTGTGGTTGTGTGGTCTGGCACCACCCACATGTATATCCTCGCTTTGACAACCTGAACCTAAGCATTCCCCTCCGTGAGTTGTAATCTAGACACAGAAATCTGGCTAACCACTGTAATTTACAGAATCTATAGGTTAAAGGAGCTTGGCAGGGAGAAGGGAAGCACAGACGAGTATAACATTTGTAATTTAGTTTTAGGGGAGTCTGACTCAGGATCCAGATGCTGGGGTGATGTAGTGCTTGTGACGAAGTATGGGTGCAATTGTAAAAACAATCTACATTTGTGTTACAGTTTTTTGGTTCTTTACATGTCAACTATACAGGGCAACATGTGAAAGGAACTTTTTTCAGATGAGACAGTGGACAAGACGCAAAACACCCTCAGCTGGAGTCAAACGGAAGATGTTGAGTTTACATGGTCTGCTTCTTGAGCCATATAGTCCACCAACATGCCCAGTTCTTCCTTTTTTCGTTATCTTTTTTCCCTTTGTTGGCTTTTGTCCTTTATTTGATGATGAATGAAGAGTGTCAACATTACATGTTTCATGTCTTACACACCAGAATGCCAATTGACAGTTCATCATGGGACGCTGGGAGGATAGATTTTCAGTAGGGAACTCCAGGGAAATTGTATCTGGATACCCTTCCAAAGAACTTGTAGTTGCTAGAGTTGGTCTGTTGCTCCTCAAAATCTTATATTGGGGAAAGAGGGGTGGTGTAGAAAGTGTGCATCGTCTTTCACCATTTGTCCAAGATTGTAGTCTCTTATGAGCTTTTTGAAATTTGAATTAAACAAAAGAGGATCACCTGAAAGAAGAAAAATCTTGCCAGACAACGGCAGAAAAGAAGGACAAGGGTGTTCTTCCACAGTGAAATACTCACTATACCATAGAGACATGACACCTTTTTATATAAAGTGATAGATATCATAGATTATGCTTATTCTTTACCAGGCTAGATCCTTTTGAGATTCATGAACAGGTGCTTTTTGTTGGTTGGGTAGAACAGGAAATCAGTTTGAGCACACCGCATGATGAAGAAAAGCCCCCCACTGTACGGTTTCCTCTGCTTCGTGATCGAAATAGTGTACACAAGTCACCATCTGCTACACTATAAATATCCCGTATACACTTGCTCTCCATCAGAGGCCAGGAAAATAGTTACCACTCGTCAAGACAGCTTTGCTTTGGGGGAATTAAAAGATGAAATATGTTATTTGCTTTCAACAGGAAACACAGATATCTACTCCTCTGAGAGAGGTGGGTGGTACAAATGCAAACAAGCGATTGTAATTTTTAAAACATAGTACATCAAGTTGGAAATAATGTGTAACCTCTGAGTGCAAGATCAGAATTATGGTTTTAATTTTAGATGCTGAATGCTGATTCTGTCACTGACATGTATATGAAGTATACATTGGGATTTGATATCCTTCAGTGTTGCTGCGCTTTGCTTTGTTTATATTAGCCTTCTAAATTCCCAGGAGTTCACCACCTTCCCACAAGCGTTCAAGCATGCCATATAATCAGCCAACAAAAGCTACTAAGCACCTTGGTGAGGATGGATGATCCACGCTGAGACCAAAAACAGCCACCAGGTGTTTACACTTGTCTTGCAGGAAGCTAATTTGACTTTCCCAACACAAGATAGACTTTCTCTCAGGGGCAAACCCATAACAAATGGACAGAGAGACATGCCTCCACAAGATTTCCTGCTCTTGCACATTGCCGCTGGTATTTCCAGTTCATGTGGTGTGGGCCGCATCATGTGAGGCCTCCTTACCAAGATTGCAGCTATGATTTTATTGCAGTCTTGATTAGGCACATGTGACTAACTGCAAACCCCTGTTGGCAACGGGTGAGCGGTTGGCAGAAAGCAGAGGTCTTCCAGAGCTCTGAGTTGTAACGAGATTCAGCCTCGCGGGTTCACGAGGCAATACCCGTTCCTCGGGAATTTGATTCCTCTGGCCGTGTGGAACAAAGTTGGCCCAACTCACTTCATTTCACACATTAACTGTTGTGTTTGCGTAGAAGAGAGGCATTTTCATTCTGCAGGCGGTCTCCACTACCTCACGGAAGAAAAATGCTAGCCCGGCTTCACTTCCCATGGAAAAACCAGCCAAGACAACTCGGTGAGAGAGGGAAAATATTGGGGTCTTTTAAATGCAAAAATTCTGAGGGGAGGAAATGGAAATATGACCATTTTCCTGACATGAAAAGCAGAGCACATCAAGACTCAATCATGATATTTTCAAGAATAGCTTGGACCTCATTCCCTTTCATCCCGTGGACTGTTTTTCCAGGAGATGGGGGGAAAGAAATGGAAAAAGACACAGTCATGATTTGTATCATGATGGATGCCAACACAAATTGGGTAGCCATTTTTTTCACTCCCTGTTAGACGCTGCTGCATTAAGACAGCCATTATACATTTACCACATCAAAGGACCATTCAAATTTCTATCATACACACTTCAGAGTGGGGGAGCCGGAGAAAAGAGGGAGAACCAAATGGGAGCAACCTTTTAAAACAATAAAATGGGGGTGGTGCATTTCAAGGAATCAAAGTGAGTAGAGGGGCTGTGATGCTACTGCACTCTTGTGTGGTCCCACTTTCCCTGTCTCTTTCTCTCTCTCTCTCCCCTGGCTCTTCCTCTTTGCCTCACATTTTCTCTTCCCTCTTTTGTGGCTCTAAGCCTATGAGCTGGCGTGGGCCCTTCCTTACTACACACCCAGCGGGGCTTTAAAAAGGCAGGGCCGGAGGTCTTAGCAGCCACACACTCTCCGCCTGTGCCTGTGTCTTTTGGTCTTGCCGTGGTGCTGTGAAAGCCGGCTGTGTCAACCTCTCCAGCCTCCAGGTCGCTCGGATTAGAGATGCAGACGCCACACTGCAGGGCCCCCAATCTCCTGCTCATCCTCCTGGGCCCCACACTGTTGGCTGTGGGCCGGGCCGCCATGGAGAGCCAAGGTGAGGAGACGACAGAGTTATTATTGCTGCCTGCGGTTGGGATATTAGTAGCATTTTGTGGGCAGACAAATGGACGCGCTGGGGGACTCAAGCAGGTAACCTCAGCTTGGGAGAGGGTGAGTGTGTGAGGACAGACTGTGCCTGAAACTGTGTGTAGGTGTAATGGGGAGTCTGTGTTAGAGTATATTTTTGCCTGTGTCTACCTGTTTATGTAAAATGTGGGACGGGCTGTTTGTCTTTCCGTTGTTTTGGTGTGTGGCCAGAGGAATGTTCCTTCCTGTATGTTCTGGGCAAGAACAGACAGAAACCAAAGTGTCTTCTTGGCTGTTTTTGTCATTTTGACACCTCTTGAGAATCCTCCTCTCTTGTCTTACCCAAGGCCAAATATAATTCAAAGTGTCAGAAAAAGGCAGAGAGAGATGCATGAGTGTGCAGACACCCACAGACACACTTGAATTCACTTCTCTGTACAGGAGCTTTACTATTCCACGCATGCAAACACCACACACCCACACATACTAAGCAGTCAACATCACACACAAAACTGAAAAAAATCTCCGCTCACATCCATCCACACTCCCCATATACTTATCTCAGTCTCCATCTGTGTGTGTGTTTCCACGGAGCAGCGCTGTACGAACTTGAGAGGGAACCGGCGTATTGGGATGCTCAGGCCAGGGCAACACTGGATGCTGCGCTGAAGCTCCGCCCTCGGGAGCACCAGGCCAAGAACATCATCCTGTTCCTCGGCGACGGTAGGACATGCTATCATTATGAAATCTATTCCAGCAAACATTCAACAATGACTCGGTTGTGGTTAAAGTTAGAAAAGGCTGCTAGTTTAAGCCTCAGTGACAAATACAATATGCAATGGAAGACAGTGCTCAAGTGTGTTCAGTTACAGTACATTTGCTGTGCTCAGAATGGATCGAGGGAAAGTGGCTTGGAGAGCGGACTGTGAGTGTACAGTGCAGGCGTGTGTCTAGATTTTTGAGGGTTTATGAGCCAGTGGTCTTAATAAGCCTTTGAATAGCTTTAGTCATTTGGTCAAATACTTAAAGTTGATTACGTTTACATGGACTTGACCTGAAAAGTCTTGGAGTGGTGTGAGTAATGACTGAAGGCATTAAGTTCCCATCTCATCTCCCACCAACGGCCAGTGCTGATTTCATTTAATCATCAAAGTGATTTTTCTCTAACCTTAACCAAGTGGTTTTAATTTCCTGAACTTAAAACTGCACGATAGATAAGCCTATGTTTATGTTAACAATGGATCTAATGACAAAGTGTAATGTGAAAGGGACGACACAGACTCCTGACTGTAAAGTACTGCAAGACTGAGGCCTAAAACCCAGAAATGAGTTAGCATTTTAACACTCCGCTTCCCTCGTCTTGAGGTCAATGGGTTTCTTGAATGAGTTTTTGGCTAGGTGCCTGAAATAAGCTCTGTGGTTAACACAAACGTTAGAGATTTTTCATGTTTTGGTCTATCACATAAAGTCTGTCAGTAAATGCCCCATTAATGAATTCTGAGGCCTTTACGTGTCTTTAAAAATAAAAGTTGCTAACAAGAGTCTCATCACGCTGAGCACAGCTTTACAGCCTCGTTGTGGTGGCGACGTTGAAGTTGTGACTGTTGTGTAGCTCATTTGTAGCCTATCGTTAGCGTTTTATGTCTGGTGGTCGCATTTAAACTCATTAAAGTGGTGTTCATTTGTGAATATTATCCTGCTGAACAAAATTATTATGAACTTTTTTTTTGCCACAGAAGTTATTTCCTGCGGTAATCCAAGATCCAATGGAAAAATGCCATTGGCTTTTCATTGAATGAACCAGGGTGATGTTAACTTCCAAGGCGACCTACAGATAAACATCATGTCAGTTCCCTTTAGCTTTATGGAGCAATTTAGTGCCTTTAAGCTAATTGTTTTGGTTCGTAAAGTTACGATCTTGTTTGTGACAACAACGAAACATTTTGTAGCTAATGAGCCAGATATGTCTCAAGTCATGGAGTTGTTGAAAAGAAAAACAGAGCTAGAGTGAGAGTCATATTGCAAAGCACTGACTGTCACAAACTACACCTATTTTGTAGTTTAAGCAGGACAACTTTGCATTGCATCTTTGTATGAGTACATTTTCTTCCTTACAAAGCATTTGCAAAGTGGATTTTTTTAGATATTCTATGGTTTGTATAGTTTACATCCATGTTTTCTTGCCAGCATTCTTCTTCTCCACTGCTTTTGTTGACACATGGCTATGTTTGTTGGCACCGTAAACTGCTGATGAGCTGAATAGTGGGAAACCAACTGCAGGATGTGAGTGTGCACGACTTCAACAGAATAGAGAACCTCTTGTAAAAACATTTCTCTATAACATCACTAGTTGTGGTTAATGACTTCAGGAGGATCCACTCCTGACACGCTACATATCTTAGCAGTGCAGTCTGGCATTCGTTGTACTGTCAACCAAAGGGACGATTATTGCCAGTTGAGGAAAGTTTCCATCTGGATCAGATTTGATTGGAAAATCTTTCACATTAATTGTCACTGGTGTGGTATATTTACAGCCGGTGAGGCATGAAAGATTTTTTCTGTAAGGGGAGCTGTTTAAAGGCACAGAGATTTAAGAGTGTTGTTCCTGTTAACTACCAGTATATCTGCTTTAAATCAGACCTATTTAGTCTCATTTCTGGGTGGTCGAGGCTCGAGTTTTCTTTGTGCATCTCTCCAGTAATGCCCTGCCCAGAGAGTATTCTCAGTTTTATGACTGTGATGTTGAAGGGAGAGTTAAGTGCATCACCCTGACATCGGTTTCGCAAAGTATGGTTTTCAAAGTCAGGGGTGAAATCCAATAGTGGACCACACGAAGAGACTAAACAGGTCCCTTAATTGATTTAGAAAATCAAAGGCATGTAATGTGTATGTTTCACGTGATGTAATCAAGATCGTGCCATAGCAGCATCTTTAAGCATGTTTATTTGTTTTATGTACGACCAATCGGGGTCTGAATATTTCCCTGGAGGAGTCCGTGTTGGTCTGTGTGAGGATTTTGTTTGAAAATGCGGTTTTCTTAGTATACCACTGCCCTCCATGCCCTGTCCATTTGTGGATTCAGTTGACGTTAATGGCCTTGACATGCTTTCACTTAGTTTGCTTAGAGAATTACTGAATCATTTTTTCCCTTCCATCTCCAGCTTTTCAAACAAACACATTTTAATATTTTTGGTCAGGATTTTTTAAACGTTTGCAAAGTAAACAGGGGACAGTATTCTGGGGTCGGAACAGCAAAACCTTCACTGAATGTGAACACAAGAAAACAGCTTTTTAAATCATTGATTGTCTTTCACTATCTCAGTAAACTAAGATAAACTGAGATAGTGGAACTGAAAATAAATGATGGATCCATATCAGTGACATTACCTGTAAATCATTGTCTCCCAGGGATGGGTGTGTCCACGGTGTCGGCAGCTCGAATTCTACGAGGTCAGATGGAAGGCGGATCAGGGGAGGAGACAATGCTGGCCATGGACACTTTCCCGTATGTGGCCCTGTCAAAGGTGACACAATGACACTGTTGACCTGTGGTTTATCAGTCATTATATATTTACAGATGATCATAGTGTGGACAACAGTACAAATTCTAATTTGAAAGAGCCAGCAGGGTTTCACCATATAACATCAGCTTTGTTTTATAAATTATTTCCCATTTCACAGAAAGAAGACTTTTCTAAAATTTATGTTTTTGTCTGTGCTGTTCTCATGACTACATGTTTTATCCACTATATTCATCATTTAAAGCTCCACCTCTTAAATATAACTTTAAAACCAGTATTTTTCTCCACAGTTTGTGTCTGAAAATGTATTTATTTTTAATTTTTGCAATATAAGCATTCATCACTTACAGAAAATAACTGTACATGCTGTCCTGATTACAGTTTAACATTTCTTATAACTTTTAACACTCATTACTACATATCCTTAAACATTGGATTTGTTTTAGCCTATTTGTAATTTTAGATTAAAAAAAACAGCAATGAAGCACTTTTCACATATTTGTTTTTTTCAAAATAATTTACAATGAAGTAATGATAATGGGCCAAAGTTTCATTTTTATTGTTTCATTCCTCTGCACTCTATGACCGGAATTGCTTTGCCTACAGACACACGCATGTGCATGCGCACACACGTACACTCACTATCAACACTGTTATCAGTAGATGGACTCCAGGGATGAGCTCTGTTGTCAGATGCTGTGTACGTATATGTGTATGTATGTGTTTGTGCATGCACGCATGTCCATACTTGCGTGTGACAGAGATAGTTACCACATGCTAATTCACTTATGTCATTCAGGCATGTGTACATAGTAGGTGTCAGTGGTTTCTTGGTAAATCAGTACAGAATGACACATGGAGAAGGAGGGAGAAAAACACAGTGAGAGTGGATGAACACCCCAGTTTAAAGAGTGGAGGGTTAGTGGCTTAGTGTCTCTTGTCCATTTCACATGCTTTGTTCTTTTAACATGTTACATCTTGCCTCATGCCATCCCGCTGTGATTTAAGCCCTAAAGGCTTTTCGTGAGAAGAGTTTCGAGGGATTTAGCTAAAACTAACACTTTAACTGAAAACACTGAGATTTTGGATGCTCAAGTTAAAAAAAATCAGGTTTTCGGTCAAGTATAATCCCTCAATCATTGTAACGTGAGTGAGTTTGAGTATTCAGAGTCTTCTGTGTCTCTGTGTTCTAACTTATAGCGTAGAAATGAAAACACTACTTTAAATTTTTGTCTATTTCCTGGCCTTTTCTTCAATGGTGTTTGTTTCTACTCCACAGACCTACAGTGTGGATAAGCAGGTGGCAGACAGCGCCAGCACAGCTACAGCCTACCACTGTGGGGTGAAGGCCAACGCCAAGACAGTGGGGCTCAGTGCTAAAGCAGTGGCGTACGAATGTAACACCACCTTTGGTAACGAGGTGTACTCAGTACTACGGCGTGCTAAAGCACAAGGTACAAACACTGGCTGGCTTGGCTAAGTATAATGGGTGTGCTGGTGTAATAGAAAGGTCAATTGGTTTGAATTAAACCCTTATCTCAAGATACGCAATGACCATATCTGCTGCAGAGTAAAATATCATCTGATAAGCATGTTCCCTGCTACCTGAACGTCACCAGGTATAGTTCAATGTTCAGAATATGAATAATTAAGAGGTCATTCCACATTGGCCGGCCTTCACTTTTTGGCTTATAATCATAAGTACTGTGCAACAGTACATTGTTTGTGTGCAACTGTCTGTGTGTCAAGGTCACTGGCGTCCATTATTAGAAATATTGTACTCTGGGGCGTCGGTGGCTTAGTGGTAGAGCAGGCGCCCGATGTACAAGGCTGTTGCCGCAGTGGCCTGGGTTCGAGTCCAGCCTGTGGCCCTTTGCTGCATGTCATCCCCTCTCTCTCCCCCTTTCACACTTAACTGTCCTGTCCATTAAAGGCAAAAAATGCCCAAAAAAATATCTTAAAAAAAATAAATATTGTACTCACTATGTATCAACCCCTTACGAAAATTAACTTAAGTATGACTATGATATCAGAATTGTATAGTGTCCTATAGTAAGTTTTTTTGAAGTATTTTTCACCTCATCCTTGGTTAAGAGTACAACACTAGTGATACTACTTAGACACTATAGTGTGGCATAGCCAACTTTGTAGACTTACTGTTGTAATTTTCCATCGTGCATCCAACAAAAACATAGGTATAATATAGAAACACTATAGTGACACTATCTAAAACTCCTTAGTTTAACTATAGTAATTTCCTATAGTACCCGAAAAACCAAAGAAGTACGACAAGAAATACTATAGAGATACTTGTAAACTTAATTTCACTATAGAGCCCTGTTTACACCAAATACTTTCGGTATGGTACCTTTGGAACTGTATGAACAGGCCACAACTCGGCCCTGAGCAAGAGTGACCATCTGCTATTGACCAATCAACGGACTGTAGTGTTCACAGCTCCACCTTTTAGTACCGGATCTGTGTGCTAGGTACCCCAACAGAAGGGTGACCAAAAATAGGAAGGGTTCAGAACGGTTCCATTGGTACCATCCACAACTTTTCACAGTAGAAACGGAAAAAAAGTGTACCAAACTGAACTGTACTGTGCTGTACTGCTTGGTGGAAAAGGGGCTTAAGATCACTATAGCCAATTCTGTAGTATTACTGTAGTAATTATCTACAGTGCATTCCAAAAAAAACATAGAATTAGCATAGTAATACCGATAGTTTTGGCTCATCTGTGGTCCTAATGCATCTTTAGGCCCGTTTCCACCGCAGGAACTTGAGGGTAATTTTATGGGGCCGGGGCCGTTGGTGCGTGTCTCCACCGCAGGAACCACCCCTGAAGGACAGAGTTCTGGAACTTTTACAGGGGCTAAACAAGTCCCTGCCTCGGAGTAGGTACTCAGAACGGCCCTGATAAACTCCTGGCTGGGGCTTGGGGATTACTTGGTGCTGATTGGATATACTCAAGGCGGGATGTGACGTTTTGTAATTAATAACATGGTTATCGTAGATAAGCTGGGCTAAACGTTAGCTGTTAGTGGTGTCCGTAATAACTCAATAAACGGTCTGTGAAAAAAATATTTTTTCCAGCGGATATCTTAGTTACAACATGATTGAGCTAGCAAAGCAGTTTTGTGTTGCTATGTGTGGTATTTATTCAGTTTTGGGAATTCACGATATCTAGAAAGCATCAGCTGACAGGGACAGCTAACAGCAGCAGGACGTCATCTGTTAAAAGCCTCCCGTTGTCGGATACAACATGAAACTATTCCAGTTAGCTCAATCATGTTGTAACTAAGACATCCGCTGGAAAAAAATGTTTTTTCACGGACCGTGACCGGAGTTATTACAGACACCGCTAACGGTTAACGGTGTCCCTACGCCCCTACGTCGCCCCGGTCATAATGGTCGCGCAACGATTACATCACATACAGAGCCCGGTAACTTTACAGGAACCTTCCTCCTACTCCTACTTGTGTCACCACTGCATGGTACCAAAAGTACCAAAGATACAGTAGCTACCTGAATAGCTATTGTGTTGTATTTAAAAGGCGCTAGAGCATTTCCCATAAAGCCAATTTCAATTATAAAAAAAAAGTTTCTATAAGGCAGTTTGTGTGAACATCAGAGGTTGGAGCCAAAAACTGCTAAGTTTTCCAAGGGCAAGTAATTGGGAGTTTAGAGTAGAGTAGAGTTAACTTTATTGTTTCTGAGGGAATATTGGTCTTGGGCACAGTGCTAAAGCTCGTTGCTTCACATAAAAAAACTTCACAAAACAACATCAAAACATCTTAAAACACAAGGGACATGACAAATTTGACCTTGGCGACACAGTGGTTTCAAAAAGATCCTGTAAGACTTAATGTGCAAATGTGCCAAGTGCTAATTTAATTTTGAATTCAATCATTGGTATTTAGACCAGCAAACACCACATAACATACGTAAAGAGCAGTTCTATCCTCTGTTCACTCATTCATTGCCATAATAACAAGCTTTTCTAGAGAGTTATATGGCTAACTGGAACCTCATTTACCTCTCCCCCTGGGCTTCATTACTTAAAGCCAGTAAAGACAGCAGGACTTTGGCTACACCCACTACAGTAAAAACTGAGCCAGCATCATTATTTCTTCCTCCAGAGCAGCTCCATGTCCAAGAACAAAAATGTAAACCTCCAATGTGCATTATTAAGGTTGCACTGTCATTTGTTAGTTGGTAATTTGTACCAGGCACAAAAAAATCCTTCACGTTGTGTGTGATTGCCTTAACAGTTCTCCTTCTGATTTCGGTGTGTCTCTGCTTTGTCCAGGTAAATCTGTTGGTATAGTGACCACCACCCGCGTCCAGCATGCCTCCCCGGCCGCTGCTTATGCCCACTCTGTCAGCCGCAGTTGGTACAGTGATGCAGATCTTCCTCCCAGTGCTCACCGGCAGGGCTGCGTCGACATTGCAACCCAACTGGTCACCAATGTTGACATTGATGTACGTAAGAACAATTCCAAGCAATTGTAATCTTTCATCTTGGTCCAGGACTCACTCATTTAATATCTATCTGGACACTCTTAAGTTTCATGATCCCATTCTGTCTGGTGTCCCTTTAAGGTGATTCTGGGAGGAGGGAGGATGTACATGACACCAAGAGGGACCCCAGACCCCGAGTACCCAACCTCCAACTCTCGCAAGGGGGACCGCAAAGACAAGAGGAACCTCATTAACATGTGGCTGAAGGCTAAACCTGTAGGATTATTTAACATTGCTGTTCCATATTTCCATATATCTTAAGGTTTGAGTCTCAGATTCAAGTTTACTCTGGTTTGTTTTTCAGAACAAGAAGTCACACTATGTTTGGCACAGGAAGGAGTTTGACGAGATAAATGTTAAAGCTACTGACCGGCTCATGGGTGGGTATAGATGTGTTAACACACTCATGCACTTACTGCAGTATATAAAACACATACAGATACCATACACATGACACACAAGACTGATAGACACATATCAGTGCATACACACATAATGTACACACTCACACAAGCAATATAATACTCAGGTGTTGGCAGATAAACTTATCTAGGTTACAAAACAATCAATTGCTGAGAAACAAGAGGGTTCCAGTAACACCAACTTTTGTCTTTACAACCATGTAAAGTAATCATGATGCTAAACTATAAACTCACAGTTTGGTGGTATTATCACCTCTAACTACAAAGATAAAACCTAAGGGAACGTTTCTTGCTGTGATGATGTGTACAGCAGTATATGCAACAGAATTGTTATCATCTTGCACATCTATAGCTCATGTATGTGTTGCAAATAGATACTACGTAGGTATTAGCTGTTAGGTTTTATTGCTATTATTATTAGCATGATTGGAGCATGTCTTAACAGTCTGAACCTGGAATGTTCAGACTGTTAACTTTTCAAAATACACGTAGTAATTCATGATTGATTTATGATTAAATGGGATTCATTGTCATGGAAGCAGCTTGGATTTTAACTGACAATGTTGCCAGACTTCAGCCTCGCATTTTCTCTCACTGTTCTTCAGCTCTGACAGTTTAGACTGACCTCTGCATTACCACCTTAGTTTGCTACAATACTTTTTTTTCTACAGTGCTTTTAAAATATTTTCTTCTTTTCTTATGTGGTTTCAGGTCTGTTCGAGCCAAAGGACATGCGATTTGAGGTTTTCCGGAACAGCACACGCGACCCCTCCATTGTGGAGATGACAGAGAAGGCCATACAAATCCTCAGCAAGAATCCCAAAGGATACTTCCTGTTTGTGGAAGATGAGTACTATATCAGCAGTCCTCTAATTTAAAATGTCATCAAGCATGACATTGTGGGAATCATGAAGAAAACATGATTTTGCCAAGCAGGACATGATCCTGGATCAACAGCCCACAGCCTTCTGACATTATCAGTGTGCTGCTCCTGTGTGTCTTTCAAAATCCCTTTGTGATTCTTCAGAGCTGAGCTAGTTTTCCAAATTGAAGTTAGTACAACTGAACAAAATCCTCAGTAACAATGAACAAAAACCTTGTAAGCAACTGCAGGGTTAGCGAGTTAGCTTGCTAAGTAGGTAGCTAACAAGTAAGCTTGCCAATAGGCTAGAATGTTAGTGAGTTAGCCTGCTAAGTAGGAAGGCTATGCTAACAAGTAAGCTTGCCAATAGGCTAAAATGATAGCGAGTTAGCTTGCTAAGTAGGAAGGCTATGCTAACAAGTAAGCTTGCCAGTAGCCTAAAATGTTAGCGAGTTAGCTTGCTAAGTAGGTAGGCTATGCTAACAAGTAAGCTTACCAATAAGCCAAACGTTTGTGAGTTAGCTTGCTAACTAGGTAGGCTATGCGGGAACTGCCCATTGGTCCGACAGCCCATTGGTCCGACAGCCCATTGTTCTGACCATATTAAACCCATTGTTCCGAAGTCCCGTTGTTCTGAAATCATCATGATGCCCTGTGGTTAAGGTCTGGTTAGGTTTAGGCACAAAAACCACTTGGTTAGGGTCAGGAAAAGATCATGGTGTGAGTTAAAATGAAAAAGAAAGTGGCAAACACATAAGCCGTGAGCCTGCTTCTTCTCAAGCCTTTCCCAGCTGACCCAGAGCCGGTCGCGGCGCACCATCAAGGTAGAAATACGCCCGCCGGGAGCCGTTCAGTACTGCGGACTGTCGGATTAATGGCATGTCGGACCAATGGGCTGTCGGACCAATGACATGGACTGGGCTATGCTAACACTTAAGCTTGCAGTGAGCTAAAAATGTTAGCAAGTTAGCTTGCTAAGTAGGTAGGCTATGCTAACTAGTAAGCTTGCCAATAAGCCAAAATGTTAGTGAGTAAGCTTGCTAAGAAGGAAGGTTATGCTAACAGTTAAGCTTGCCAAAAGGCTAAAATGTTAGCGAGTGAGCTTGCTAAGTACGAAAGCTATGCTAACAATTAAGCTTGCCAAAAGGCTAAAATGTTAGCAACTTAGCTTACTAAGTAAGTAGGTTATGAATGACACAAAATTTCTAGTCTATTAGCAAGTGTACTCATTAGCATAGCCAACCTAGTTAGCAAGCTAAATCACTAACCTTGCAGTAGCTTACGAGGTTTTTGTTCATTGTTACTGAGAATTTTGTTCAACTGTACTAACTTCAATTTGGAAAACTAGCTTAGCTCTGAAGAAGCACAAAGGAATTTTTGAAAGAAGCACAGCAGCAGCACACTGATGATGTCAGAGGGCTGTGATTGGTTGATTGCAATGTTGTGATGTGGGATGTTATGCTGCATTCCAGCCAAGTTTCTGAGCCCGTAAATCACCACTTCAAGTCACGACTTCATAGCGTTCCAGGCAAGTCACGCCAAACTCTCAAAGCAACATGGCAGACCGTGCAGGGTTTATGTTTGTGTATGATCACTTCTGTCACCAAAGGTGCCGGTTCCTTCCTCATTTGAGCGAAACAGAGGAGGAGAAACAGCGCATAAGGTCACAGATGCTATTATACTTTTTATTTTATGTTATCTGTGTGTTTGGTATTTTGTATTGATTTATTCTTGCACTGGAAACCAGCTGTTAAAGCGGCTGCCAATAATGTGTTAACATTAGGGTTATTTTATGTCTGTTTCTCACCGTGTATCACCTGCATCAACATCGCATCAATGGGGCTGCCATTGTTGTTTAGAGGAGTAAGGTATTTGGTTTAGAGGGATGTGTGACGTCAGAAAGCGTATCTGGGAGTACGTCGATCTGGTACGAGTTCACGGGTGGTAAGTTACGGGTTTGACTGCTGTTCCAGTGCACTTTCACGGGTAGAAGGTTGTAAAAAAACGAGTTGCAGGTTGTCTGGAACGCGCTGTTAATCCAGGAGCATGTCCTACTTGGCAAAATCATGTCATGCGTGAAGAAGTATAGTCATGGTGGCAAGAATATGTGGCTGCCAATGTAAAACAGGGTATTTATTCTTAATTTTTTAAAATGTTGTCTTTAAGATTCTGTGGATTACCCAACAGCACCCAACACTTGTTTTAGAAGAAGACAAAAACAAAATATTGAATAATAAAACAGACATTTTCCTTTTAACTGCTGCTAAAATGATTGTTCTGGAGGTACACTAGCAAGATATTTCAAGCCAAGTCTAATTTACTTTTTTTTTTTTGCTGTTCTTTTACGAGGGAGAATTGATCATGGCCACCATGACGGCATCGCCAAACTGGCACTGACAGAAGCTGTGATGTTCGACCGAGCCATCCAGCGTGCCGCACAGCTAACCAGAGAATCCGACACTCTCACTGTGGTCACAGCTGACCACTCCCACGTCTTCACGTTCGGTGGTAACACACCTCGAGGGAATCCCATCTTCGGTATGGTTAAAAGCGCTCTCATGCAGTCCAGATTTAAATTGGCATGAAAATCAACCTCATGCACGTCAAATTTACAAAGTGCAGGAGGGAGAAAGATTAAAGAATAACAGAGTGGATTTCTATCCGGATGCAAACCATATGTGTATATATGTGGAAAATAGCAGAACTAGCCTAGAGTGACTAATTTGTAGACATTACATTTGGAGGTGGTTGCATAATATTTAAGACTGTGGTTACGTAACTTGCATGTTAAAAGCTTCAACTTTATATCTGTGTCATAAAGTACATGTGAGTCTGTGCGCTCATTTTGCCTCTATGTGAAAAGACACCGTGACTGATGCATTATTGTCCGCTTCTCCGACATTTCTTGTCATTCAGGTCTGGCACCAAAGAAAGCCGATGACAAAATGCCTTTCACCAGCATCCTGTATGCCAACGGCCCTGGTTACGTCCATATAAACGGAACCAGAGGCAACATCTCAATGGTGGATTATTGTAAGTACAAAGTAATGTCTTTCAGATGTGGCAGTCGTCTGTGCTGATGTGTGTACAGACAGCGTTAGCTGATGTGGTTATGGCTGACTCATGCCTGTGTTTTTCTCTTGGAAAGCAAAGATGAAATATGATGTTTGTGGCATTTACTCTGCTGTCTTCTGTTCCCTGCACAGCCTTCATTGTGTGCATGTAACTGCGCTTAGAAAAAAGTTATTTGTATTTCTTTGTGGAATGCTGGACAGCAATGACCCAGTTCCTCCTCCTCTTGTTCTGCACCATTCGCTTTAATCATTGCATGAGTGTGTATATGTTTGAAGGTGGAAATATCTCTTTCCAGGGATGAATTATCTTTTAGAACCTCCAATTTTGTCTTTGTGAATGGACTGGCGTCACTTTATGTCTTTGGAACCGGTAGTTGTGTCTCAAAAGTGCACACTCAACTCATCTGGCACCTTAAGTAAACGTGCAATTACAAGAGAGGGATTCATTTCTTAAACTTTATGTATCCATCTGGAGAGTTATGAAGCGCTGTAAAAGTCAGCATTTATATTCTAATGAAGACTATGAAGCCAATATACTATTGCAGCATATTTTGAGAAGTAGAGGTACGATTAGCCAAAGGTGATAAAGGTTGCCCACAGAATTTTTGCAACAATCAATCAACAAAAGCAGCCTTTAACTAGAGAGCATCAAATGCTTTATCTTATAACCTAAGGAACACTTTAGCATCCTACTTGTTTTACAGCTTTGTTTTTGGGGGCGAAAAAAATGTATGGAATCTGTCAGTACACTTTAGAAAGGTCAGGCAGTAAATGCTGTAATTTCATCAAAATGATTTTAATTACCTCCTGGTTGTTGTAATTGAATATAATTAGGTAAATTACAGAAGTTCTGCAAAACACCATTTTATGGGCAACAGCCACAGAAACATCTATGAGGCGTATGTAATCTTAAAGCTATCCAAAGGTGCTCTGTGGAGTTGGTGGTATTTGAACTGACAAAAAAAGGGCAAACCAGTGCTGTAAGCAAACAGTGATACTTTACAATGCCTCAGTAAATAGTCTACTGGGTTGTGGGTGACAAAGTCACAATGTAGAATGAAGTTCATTTTGGCTGACATCATAGTTAACTTATGGTGACACAGACTATAAAAGCATCTTTTTGTGTTAACACTTGATGATCCAAGCACAGAGTTGCCTTGTTTTGTGACATTCTACACTTAATTCTCTCCAGACGACGAGGAGTACATGCAGCAGGCTGCTGTCCCATTGGATGCCGAGACTCACGGCGGGGAGGATGTGGCCATCTACGCCAAAGGCCCAATGGCTCACCTGTTCCATGGGGTGAAGGAGCAGAACTACGTGGCGCACGTCATGGCATACGCTGCCTGCTTAGAACCCTACACATACTGCCCTCCTTGCCCCCACAGCCACACCTCAAGCGGGTGTGTGAACACAACGTCGAGCCTCCTGTTTGGCCTGCTTATCCTCCTCTGGTTACTTAGATGACCCTGAAAACACATACACACACACACACTAATACGCACACACACGTACATTGTATGCATGCAGCAATACAGACACTTAATGCACTCAACATTCATTAACTACAGGCACACACTTTAACGGTACGCACACAGGTTGGCAAGTCAGACCGCAGGGATTAACACACACATTACTGTATGTTAAATATACCCACATACATGCTGATAACTCAGTGTGCACTCATATGAGCTTGTAACCTAGATTGCATCCAAAATCCAGGCTTAAACATGCACGTAGTGGCGCTTATTTAGGTACAAACTAACAAACAGGAAGGCATTCACATGCGCACCGCTTTTTAAGAAACACTGCTGCCATTGTAGCGCCATCTGCTTTTTCTTCACAGGGACTTTTTCAAACCTGTACCTACAACATGACTACTAACATGCACTAACTAGTTCTTTCATTAGTTAGTTAGATTTTTATTATCCTCCCCCTGTTTTCCAAAGTTAAATACAAACTCTGCTACCATGCCGCTCACTCAGAGCAATCAGTCATTTGCAAGAAGTTGTAATAAGTACTGACACATTAATCCGAGGCTGCACCCAGATTAACTTGAAAGAAACAAGCAGGCTGAGGGCTCAATGTTCAGCTTGTGGACATTTAGACGGGACACACAGCTGTTGATGTACATGATCGTCATTGTCCACATGGAATGAATGACCAGACGGTACCAGAACTATGAGCCACCGTGCCATGCCAAAACTGCGACACCAACAGACCTTACAAGAACTCATCAACATGCTGTACCTCCTTCAGGAATGAAAATATGTAGCTTTTAAGGTTTTGTTTTTTGTATCTTGACCTCATTGGCTCCAAATAGTAAATCTGTTTTCTGTCAGATCACTTGATATGTAATCTATTTGGATTGTACATGAATGTATTTTATTAGCAAATATTTTGTCAATGTATTTTTATACCGTGTTTTTGCAAATGTTACGTAAACAATGATGAAAAAAAGTGAGTGAGTCCTTTTTTCTTGCAAAAAGGAACATATTTTCACTGAGTACAGTAAACGTACATGACCATGTATGTGCACATGCTTACAGGAGATAAAGAAAACTGCTCATGCATACTTACATCAGTGGTCCCACAAACCATTAGTCCAAAGAATGTGTGAAACAATTTCTGGACTATACGCGCCAAAATTTGTAATATTTCATTTTTAATGGTGTCAGGCTGACATCCAGTTACCTCTTTGCTGAAACCACTCCCATCCCCTGGGCAAATGATATGTCTGTTCGACATCGCCTCCATCATTAGCTTACCATAAAACTACATCCCCGCAAGTCCCTCACATCCCAGATATTTTATGTATTTAAAATGCAATTTTGTGGTATTTCTCAGCCTCTCGACCCTGAAAGGACAACTTATCAGCTGCTCAAAATGTGAAACAAATGTTCAGTGTGCCCATTAGTTAGGGTAAAACAGCTATTGACAGACTGTGTTGTTCCACCCCTTGTCAATGGGGGATGCTGCAGCACCCTCAGCACCTACCTTGCTGAACCCATGCCTTTCTCCATTTCATTAAATTTCAATGCTTTTAGACAACACCTATTTTTTGGGCCTGTTACTTTCATAAAGATTTCCTAGAGCTGGGTGTACTGATTTCCATTTAAAGAAATATTTAGGGATGGCTTGGCACAATTCGGTCTAATGTAATCATTAAAAAAGTCATTGCATTGGCATTGGCACTGGACTCAAGGCTTTAATCAGACAATTAAACACAAGGGAATCATCTCATTCTAACTGGATCAGTTAAAATACAGCTGTAATATATGTCATGCAAACACTCATGGGAGATACACTAACACTAACACTAATGTTTCCAAAATCCAAATACATTGGAAACCCTGGAAATATGACAATTACCACATGAACACACAGCATGCAAAAAGCAATCAGGTAACCATGGCATTCATAGAATAAGAAACAAAGGAGTTAATTTCATTTTAACATCAATTCATACACTGAAGTGATACTTCAGTTACGCAGCTAAAACAAAGATCGACCCTGTGACCTTTCTGCAACAACGCCACATGGTAACAACATTTAAGAAAACTATCTCATTTAAGGCAAATGCCACGGCATCAACCTTTTTGAGATGATTGAGTTCATTGTGTGTCAACGTATCCTCATACAATGGTTTGTATAGCTTATGAAAACGCACTCTCAACAGACAGCATGAAATTATGTGCCTCGTGCCTATTTGATGTCTAAGTAATAAGCAATCCACGAATGGTGGCGTCATGTTACGTACTTAACGTAAAGTGACGTAGATTAAGTTTAGGAAAAGAAACATGGTGACAATGTAATTTAAAGTTCACTTGGTTTCAAACACCAGTGTCCTGAGGGAAAGTCCTGTGTTGTTGCCTCCTTACACAGACTTTCAGTCTTTATACTACTTACTTCTTAACCCCCCTCAAGAGTGTAGAGTATAGCTGCAGCACAGGAGGCTGCAGTTTCCGGACCGCAGTTCTGTGACCCTAGATTTTTGCGACAGCGCCACATACTGAATTGGATAACCCAAGACCGCATTTCAAGATTGCAGACGACGGACAACAAACACGTGTGAGTACTGAAAGTGAATAAAGTTTTATTTGTTTAAAGTTAAAATTAAATCTGTTGACTTGAACTGGACCAGAAGGGGTAATGGCGGCTTGCCAAAGTGTACAATAAATTCATGTAACATTAGCTATGTATGATGAGCTTATTATAGTTTGCTGCAACTGCCTTAGCCTGTTTGTTTAGCTACATGGATGCCACATGGACGCTTCAGGCAAGACCCTTATTTAGCCTGTAGGCCTATTGTGTTCATCTCACAATCAACACAGGTTGTATGGGTGGTTGCAGTCACTTCTAATTAACCCCATATTGACAGTGAATTTCCAGGATATATGTATATGATATATGTTAAGAAAGGGCATGTTCACAAGATATCTATGTGCCAAATAATATTAACAAGTCAAATTTGACTTTTGTCCTGGTCTTTCTAAGGTGTAATTGCATTTATTTGTTTACCATTCGTGAAACCATGGCATGATTGGGCAAGCCCAATTAGATGTCGTATTAATTGTTGACTTATTGACTACTATAATGAATAATGGCCAACTTCAAAGGATAATAAAAGCATGTTGATATGATCTGTTTGTGTCAGCTACATTAAATCAGAGGTAGCCTTCTGATGCCAGTTTTACCCCGCAATACATTACCAGGCAGTTCATTTTAATATAGTTGTGTAATATTGGAAGAGACTTTGGGTATTTTTTAACAGGTGTTATATTGCCTATTCCGCAGCCTTACACTACATATTACCATGTTTGAGTCTGTCATGATAATGTAAAGCCTATATGAAGTGATTTCAGGGACACAAACTAAGCTTAATCTGGGACAGAGGATTCAAAATTTATTTTGGTTCAGTACTAGCTGAGGCCTAGTTGTCTGTTAAATGATCTCAAAATGTTTAATTTGGCCAAATATGCTGTCTCTTTTTCTTTCTTTCCTGTGGACCACATTGTGCACCACATTGGTTCACAGGGGCACAGCACAGCACTCACAAAGCAGAAGCTGTCCCATCAGTCAGGGACGAAGTTGGCTTCCTTTCTCAAGCCACAACAGATTGTTTGTTTGCTTATTGTTTATTGTGTAAAGGGCGAATGTGTCTGTGTACTATATACACCGATCAGCCAAAACATTAAAACCACTGACAGGTGAAGTGAACAACATTGATCATCTTGTTACGATGCAATTTTCTGTTGGGAAACCTTGGGCTCTGACATTCATGTGGATGCTACCTGACATGCTCCACCCACCTAAACACCAGTGTAGACCAGGTACCCCCCCTCATGGCAACGGCATTCCTCAGTAACAGCTGCCCCCCCAACAGGACAATGTGCCATGCCACACCACAAATACGGCTCAGAAATGGTCCGAGGAACGAGACAAAGAGCTCAAGGCATTGATCTGGCCTCCAAATTCCTTGGATCCCGATCTGATCAAACATCTGTGGGATGTGCTGTTACCCAACCTCACAACCCACAGGATTCAAAAGATCTGAAGCCAACGCCCTAATGCCAGAAGCTATAGGACACCTTCCAGAGGTCTTGTGTTCATGCCTTAGCAGGTCAGAGCCAAGTCCGGTCCAAGGAGGACCTACCATGGGACCTATCAGGGGTACCTCTGGGGTAGCAGCACATTCCTCAGATGTTCAGTCAGATTGGGATCTGGGATATTTGAAGGCCAAGTTAATGCCTTGAGCTCCTTGTCCCATTCCTGGGGTCATTCCTGTGCCGTTTTTGTGGTGTGGCAGGGTGCATTGTCCTGCTAGGGGGCCACTGCCATCGACCAGTGCCGTTGCCATTAGGGGGTTTACTTGGTCTGCTACGGTGCTTGGTTGGGTGGAGCACATCAAGTAGCATCCACATGAATGCCAGGATCCAAGGTTTCCCAGCAGAACATTGCACTGTAACGAGACAATCCATGTTATTCACTTCAACCGCCAGTGGTTTTAATGTTTTGGTTGATCGGTGCCCCCAGAGTCAGCCTTGTGTATTGCCTCTTTCTAACCTTTGAAAGTATCTGGTTGAGACCTAGTCAAGTCATTTTTATCTATATGACACCAAATCATGACAGAAGTCTCTGTTACCCTCTCAGGACACTTTCCACATGGAGGTCTAGCATGTACGTGCAGTATTTATTTCTCCTGGGCATACTGAGCTAATTCTGCTAACTATATAAATTGCAGGTCTTCGCAACTGAGTTGAATCGCGAAGCAAAGTAGTATTTGATGGAATAAGTCTTTAAAACCATAAGTACTTCCTAGAAAGTATTATTTGGGTTGAATAGGCCTTTAAAACTATTACAGAAAGCATTTGGATGGAATACTGTCTTATTTGCGCTTTTGCGGTCATTCAATGTGGTGGGTGGTGCTGTGGCGAAGAATTAGGGTCCTAGAACTGCGGTCCGCATTTACTGCAGGAATTTAGTGTTGCCTCAGGGCGTTGGTCACATGATCACAGCCTTCCTAATTACGTGGGTAATGCATGAATTACTGGCTCGTGATTATGTGGGTTTTATACAAATTGTGGTGCATAACTTTCTGTAGGTATGCGTATGAACAATGCATGGGAACAGCTCGTCTTTGTATCTAACAGGGTCCGTGAAATGCTGTGTCCATCACACCTCATTGTCATACTTAAATTGTGATTTTGATGTCTCCAATGTGTCTCTCCGAGTTCTTGCTTGTCTCACAAAATCTTTCGTTGTAATACGTCCAAATGCTGATACTGACAAAAAACTACGTGACCTTGTGACGTTGCGTCTGAACCACAAGGCCAGACAGTGTAACAGTGCTGAGGATTTTTTTTCAACCGCACTGTTAAAAAACATCCCTCCGTCAGACCCACCTGCACACACACAGACTCACATGCTATCAATTAATTCCGCCACAAATTCAAATAAATGGTCAGTCAGCTAGAAAACTGTTTTAACAAAGCTCACACATGAGCTGCAGAGGTTTGTAAAAGTGCAATGTAATATCTTATAATATACGGTACCATAAAACACTGCAATCATCATCATCATCATCATCATCATCATTACATGATGATTTATGGCGGCTGTAAGTCAATACTGAGTAAAGTTGCTCCTGGTTAACATTCACCGTCAAGTGTTCTGTATTACAGCTGTGTTTGTGCTTAATCTACCTGTTAATAATAAACACCAATAAAAACAGATAATGGATTTATTACATCACAGTTAGGATTAATGATTATTTATGTCATCTATGTCATTTTGAATTTATTGCACTGTCAAACAAATAGAGAGATTTTCTGAGCAAAGCTTTTAACATAATATTTATTTGATGAAACACTGAATGTGTTGTGAGTGTAATGCACAAAGGGACTTCATCTGAGTGATGAGACATGAGCTGACATGAATTGCAAGGACAGATG